GGGAGCAAGGGCACGGGACGCAGACAGCAGGGTGCAGGGAGCCCTGCGGAGCCCGAGGGCGGCGCTGCCTGAGCTGCACCACGCGGCTGAAGGCCAAGTCTAAACCGCCCGCTGGTTGTGTCGGGAGACCAGAGGAGGAGTGGGTGCAACTGGGCTCGAGTTGCTACGACTCGGTAGGAACCGGGCTGCCCCGGAGCTGCCGGAGCTGCTGCCCCTCGCGCCTTTGCCCTGGGCCTGCGTGCGCGGCTGATCCGCAGCGCAATCCTGGGAGAGGGGCGACCCCTGGCGTCCCCTAGGAGACCGACGGGGCTCTCTTGGCAGGTGCCTCGCGGCGTTTTGGGGGGGACGGGGAAGAGGCAGAGGGAGGGTGGGAGACCCTGGTCAAAGTCAGACTGCGTGCTCGCCAGCCCAGCTGGGTCGTTTCTTTGGAAATACCTGAAAAAAAGGGAATTAAAAACCGTTTCTCTAATAAGAACTACACTTGATCTGAGCTAAAATGTCGAGAAGCGATCTAAGTAAAAGGTTGTATTAAAATTATAATAATAGGGCTGCGATCAAACATATTTTAAAAGGAGGCCAGCGTTAGCTAAAGTGAATTTTAAGCGGAACTTTTTGGCTTATAGATAACTTCACTTTCCTAAATCTTTCCAAAGCACCACTAAAAGGTAAAAATCGAAGGTGTAAGAACTGTTTTTCAAAGTTTTCTTTTTTAATGGTGTCTTGGGTGTTTTAATAGCAGAGCTGATTGCACGCAGATACATACGCAAGACCCAGGGCGGAGAAATAGCTGATAAAGCCAAGTTATTATTTTTCTGTTTCCCTAAAACAACCAGTATTTATTTTCTGTATACTTTATTACAAACTAGTGCTTCCATTTATAAAGAAACACAGTTTTAAAACAGGAGCCTACAAAATATCTAATTAGAGTTGAATAAAGACATAGTATTTGGATCGATAACTCCTAGAGATAAAATACTGAATTTATTCAAAACGAAAATTAAATGCAGTCCTGATTGAAAACTCCCCACCCAGCAATGTATGTAAGGGTAAGCCTTAGCTTTAAGTATAAGATGCTAAACCAAGAAGTCTGAACTCAGTTTTTAACTCATTTCCATTGTGCTAATAAATATAAAAATCGTCCCTGACAAAATAGCAATAGTAATAGTAATATCCTTATTAGTGCATCCACATTTCACTTGTATTTTGTACCTGGGCCTCCAAATAGCCACTTGAAATGTATAGGCAGTTATTAATCTCTTTACTTGACCGGGAAGGGCCCTGAGAAACAGACGCTGAAGAACCTACGCAAAGCCTCATACATAAGCCTCAATAATTTGCACACTTAACACTGTTTGTCCACCCGAGTTATAGATGTTGGGCTTATTAGGTAATAAAATAAGCAAGGAACAAATTTGCTAGTCTCTTAACCCCCCGAATGTTAAGAGAACAAGCTGTTCTGCTGGGAAATTCTGAACTGGTATTTACATGCTTTATGCAATGATGACCAATGTTAAAAAATTAAATATGTAACAGTAACAGCGAAGCTTACTATATAAAAGATTCACTCATTTGATTACCCAGAGGACAAAATAGGTTCAAGCTATGCCAGAGGCTTTTGGTAGAAACAATAGATAACCAATTAATACCCTTTTTTATTTGTCCCCTTCTATAATTTGGGTTTTAAGCATTCAGATTGCAGATAAATGCAAGTTTTGAGATGCCACTGTGTGTAGGAATTACAACCTGTCCTCTCACACAATCTATGACATGGTTTGACGGTTTCCATAAAGAATTTTGAGAAAAGGGGCAAGAATGTGAAGAAAATAATTTTCATGGCAATAAAATAAAGACAACCTTAATAGAATATATTGGTCATTCCTTATGATAATTAATGCTATAGAGCTTTAGTCATTCTTTGAGGTTCAAATATATTCTTGGTAATTATATTGCTGATATTTGAAAATAAGTTAACTGATGAAAGAGAAAAAGGTCATGTTAATTTTGAATGAAATCTGGCTTGGATGTTGTCTATAATATAATTTTTCAATACATTTGTCACCAGATTACTTTGTTTTTTAGAAAAATGTTCTAGAGACAGAAAATTTTCACTAAAAAACATATATTCTATGACACATCATGTAATATCTTTATAAATCAAAGAAAAATTCCAACTCATAGGCAGTAGTGGTAAAATTTAAATATAAGAAAAAGTCATTTATCTTTGTGCCTTCTAAGTTAAACATCATTACACTATCAGAGTTGTTTCCTAAAATATCCTGTTATACTATTTTAATTGTTTGCTTATGACTTCTTCAGTAAGATTTAGTAACCACATGAGAAATGATAGTTTTGAATCCTGTCGTTTTAGCCCCCAGGTTACTCTAAATAACTAAGAAAATAAGAATGAGTATAAAAGTGACTTTCTGTAATTATTTCGTTATTCCTTTTAGCATAAAATATGAACAGTATTTCAACTTCTAAGTAGATAAGCTCTGCTAAGTCATTTCTCCATTAAAGATTTTCCTGGTATTTAATATTCTACAAATTAGTTCCCCAGAAAGCA